GGTGCATTCGATTCGGTGGATAGACATGCACTTTGGGACTGTCTACTCAGGAAAGGTGTACTTGAGAAATATGTGAATATTATCTGAGCATTATATGCGCGTAGCTCGGGCAGAGTGAGGGCTTACGGCAAGTTGTCGTTGCCCTTTAATATCTCCAGCGGCGTGAGACAAGGATGCCCGCTGTCACCTTTCCTCTTCAACTTCGCTGTTGACGAAGTCATGGAAATCGCGTTCACAGGACACGACTTAGAAGGTGTGGAGCTACTCCCAGGAGAACGACTTCTTGGCTTAGAGTATGCTGATGATATTGCCCTGATCTGTGACAGCTCACAAACGTGCCAACCGGCACTGGACAGATTAGCACTAGCTGTCTGTCACTTCGGGCTTTGCTTCGCACCCTCGAAGTGCAAAGCGTTCCTCCAAGATTGGTCTGGACCGCCTCCTCGCTGACCCTTAGTGGGGATCAGCTAGAAGTCGTTCAAAAATTCAACTACCTGGGAAGTTGTATCAGCGCCCGTGGGATTGAAGGTGAGATCACGAATCGTAAATCAAAAGCTAGAGGCGCTTTTGCTAACCTTCGGTACTTATGGTGCCGGCGCGACGTCACTCTTGCCCTGAAGGGTAGAGTGTACAATGCAGCGGTACGTTCGACCCTACTTTACGGTTGTGAAGCCTGGCCACTTAAAGCAACGGACCTGAGGAGACTAGTTACGTTCGACCACCGGTGCCTTCGTAATTTAGCTCACATTTGGTGGGAACACCGCGTGAGCAACGAGCGTGTTCGACGCCTTGTTTATGGCACAGGAATAGGAAGTGAACCGCTCAGCACCGTTATTTCACGCATCAGCCTCCGATGGCTGGTCCACGTGTTACGCATGCCAGCCCACCGAATCCCGCGACGTGTGTTGTTTGCGCGCCGGGGGTGTGGATGGAAGAAGAGGAGGGGGTGGCCAAGTGATGCCTTCGTCCAGAGGAATGAAGGCTCTCACTTCTGAGCTGGCCTCGGTTGGAACGTCTCGGCTCCCTGGTTGGGGTCCGAAAGACGATGAACACGTTTGGTTGGACACACTTGCTGCTATGGCTAGGTGCCGACCTCAGTGGCGTTCGTGCTGTGAGTTTCTTTGTCCCACCCCATCCCTTTTAGCCTCCCCCTCCAACCACGATCTCATTATTTAGCCTTATATAGTTTTGCATAGTAATTTTTTTGGTGTACAGCGGCCGGCTGATAGCTTAACGGAACGATGCCCATCCGTTACCGGTAGCTCAGCCGGCTTGCACCAGTTGCTTTTTTTCTCCTTTTTTCTATGTATTGCGGCACAGTAGCTGAGATGTTCCCCACCTCTAGCTAACGTGTATGATGCTGATGATGATCTACTCTCCTCTACTTACCCTTCGTCACTGGGCGCTTTCTCCATTTTTACTAAAATACTCCAGTAACGACCGTGTGCGCTAACCTAGTATGTGATTGGTCTCTACATTGCATAGATGTCTCAAATTGCCTCGACTTATTCTCATCTTCATCAATACACGTCAGCTGAGGGTGTGAAACACACTTCAACTAATGTGCCTTAATACAAAATATAAAATATTAGACATTACAGCTTACGAAAACTTATAAGGTAATATACCGCTAAATATCATATCATGCATTGGGTTTGAGATCGTTTTTGGATGGTGGAAGTTAAAGGGGAGTAAAGAGACAACAGAACCCACTACACAAATGCCATTGAGGTCGGCTCCTTGCCATGTCAGCTAGTGTATCCAGCCAGGCGTTCTCATCCTCCTTGTGACCCCAGCCTGGCAGTCGGGAAACACCAAACGACGTGAAGTTCAAAGCGAAAGATTTCATTCCTCATGACCAAGTCATCACTTGACCTTTCCTCTTCTTCTTCCATCCAGGCCCCAGGCGCACAAACAATGCACGTCAGGAGAGTCGGTATGGTCGCATGAGCAACACTTGGCTCAGCCATCGGAGCCTGGTGCGTGGAATAACAGTGCTTAGTGGTCCATTCGCTCTTCCTGCACCAAATACACGACGCCGAACACACTCGTTGCTCACGCGGTGCTCTCACCAGAGATGAGCTAAACTGCTAAGTCAGCAATGATGAACTGTAACTGGCCCGTTTATGTCTGTCGGCTTGATAGGCCAAGCTTCGCAACCGTACTTAAGGGTTAAACAGACGACTGCATTGTAAACTCCGCTTTTCTTTGCGAGAGTGATGTCGCGCCGGAGGCACAGGTGGCGGCGATTAGCAGAAACGCCTCGATCTGCCTAGATATTTGAATTTTCGACGACGTCTAGCTGATCTCCACCAATAGTCAACGCTGGGTTGGTCTCTGCCAAACTTGAGAAAGGACTTTGCATTTCGAGGGTGCAAAGCATGCCCCCCCAACGGCTGACAGCCAATACTTATTTGTCCAGTACCTTTTGGCACGTTTGGGAGCTGTCACAGTTAAGTGAAATGTCGTCGGCATACACCGCGTCAAGGCGTCGGTCACCTGAGAGCATCTCATATTAGCCTGAGTACCACTTGTTTTCAGCTTTGAAAATCCATCTCGTCAGGTGATGATTTCGTTCGGCTCCAATCTACTTATGCGATCGTTTCTTGCTCCCCTTCGCCTATCATCAAATTGAGATGGAAGCGCTTCAGATGTGGTCGCAGTCATCATGTTTCAATAACTTAAGTTTATGATTTCAGAGGGTTTTGAATACAAATTGGTTTTCTTATGCTTTTATTATGGCAACGTTTCGCTCTTGACGCAAGAGCTTCTTCAGGCCAGGTGAGCCGGTACACAATTGGCTTAGCTTTTTATGGAAAGTAAGGTGAGGATTGCAAGAAATAAAATCTACCATTGGATAATAGTGTTACAGGTCGATAGGTCAAGTGGCCATTTGACCCTGAGCAAGATCATCCTTTCCAGCATTTGTGTGAGGAGAACTGTGAAGATTTCCAGGTTCTCCTGTTGCATACAGAAGTTAGATGACTCTCCAATGGCAACTATCTTCGCCGTTTTGCTGCATTCTGGGACACCATGAACACATTCCTTTCTGTAACTGATTGTGAGTGAAAACTGTTAACAGCTAAGCTAGATGTTTTTACCTGGCTGATGTATTTGAAAAACAAATTTTTAAATAAACGCTGCAAGACAACTTGAGTAATCTCATCTTAAGTAAAGAAGCTTTATAGCTTTTCTTAAAATGCTGGAAATGTATGCTCAAACTGTCGGACGTCGGGAATTTTCACAATTCGAAATTCTCACTACACTCACAGAAGAGCTAACGAATGATGACGTGATTGATTATGTAAGTCATCTACAACAACGAAAAGAAATGAAAGACGGATTTCATGACCTGATTGACATGGACATGCAGATTTAGCTTTTAGGTCCATTTGATGTACAACCCTTCGATGTAGGAGTTGAAATCCAGGAAAGTCTCAGAGCTTCAAATTAACACACTTGCATGATCCCAATACACACTTTAAAAAGGATTTTTATATAAAGGCTGATTCCCCTAACAGCTATCTCAGACTGAGACAATCTGAAATATATTTCCTTGATCCACATACGTAGCGGAATGTGAATTTAGCAGCGGTTTCTCTAACGAAAAGTAGAAACAGCTTGCACATAACAGCGAGAGGAGATATTCGACTCTCACTGTCAACTACAGAGCCGGATATAAGTAAGCTTACACAAGGACATCAAGTTCAAGGCTTGCATTTGTATTTCAACAAAAAATATTGCTAGGAAGTTACTATACCTCTTAATTCATCACGTGCTTTACAGTTAAAAGTTAGCAATAATTAAATACAATGTTAAATATAGGTGATGACTTTAGTTTGGTTACAGGTAACTGGTTTGATGTTAGTGCACAATGAATGTTGTCTTGTGGTTTTGAAAGTTCAAAAATGAGGTTTATAAGGAAAAGAGTAGTGATATCAGCATTAAAAATTTAGCCATAATTACCTAAGATACTAATATTACCACGGGAAAGCAGCTCCATGTTTGGTGTTGCGGACTGCTGAAACTGGGGTGATCAAGGTTGGGGGTGGGCATGTGAAATGGAAAGACTCAAAATGGGGCCACGGTTGAATAACAGCTGAGAATGCCTGTTCTAGATCATGCTTCCCATTCATTTCGGCTGTCCACCTAGGCACTGGGGGGGCTGTACGATGCCTACACTGATTTTGCGATAAAGTTGCTCGGGAACCTACCACATGTTTCCGAATTGGTTGAGCGTCGACAATACCGTTACTGCCTCCTGTTTTTCTCCGCCTTTAACTCTGGTCTGGTCCCAACACCCTTTGTCCATTTTTCAGCTAAACACTCATTGAGTCATCCTGCAGCGGTGATCCGTCATCCTCACCATTTTACATGTTAGCTAGAGGCAAGAAACATCTCAGTTACTGTACCGCAACACAAATTGGTCCGGTAATGATTTAATATGTATTGTTTATATTAAGCACTGGGAATAAAGGCTTGATTAGAGGAGAGGAGGCTAAAGAACTCGCAACACTAGCGCCATGTCAGCATGTGTCTTAAGGATCCCAAACCCTGGAGGAGGGTTGCCAACCGAGTCCAACTTCTCAGTGAGACCATGCCTTCGTCTCGGTTAAGTCATTGATTAGCATCTCATCCGGACCCCCCGACCATGGGAGTCGGTATGCTGGCGTGCATAACATGTAGCTCAGCCATTGGACTCTGGTGTGTATAAAATGACGGTGTTGAACGGTCCACTTGCGCGTCATAAACAATACGAACACGTTCATTGCTTTCGCTGTGTTCTCACCGGGTGTTGTTAGCTAAACCTCGTAGTCACCGTTGACCGAACACTCTACCGCGACTTTAGCTCCAACACTTCCAAGCACATCTGTTACTTCATTAACCAGTGACATCAGCGCCTGATTTCTCAACTCATTGCTTTTCGATGCTGACATTACGTAGTCCCTCATGTCTGCAATATTCACGCGCTCTACTACACAATATTTGTCTCTCTGCAGGTTTATCACATCCGGTGGATATAATCTATCACACACAACCTTGGATGGCGTTGGCCATTCTCCCTTTATCACTTTTTGTCGAAAGTGAGTTCTGGTGTTTGTTTTTGCTCGCATAGAACAAACTTCTTTTTCAAACTGTTTCAACAGAAGTAAACTGCCTTATTGCACCTTATCATCCACTTGTTCGCTACTGGTCGCATTCTTCTAACGAACAACCTCGGAGCGATAAGCAACTGAGTCTTGTTTTTTGACAATTCTTTCCTGTTGCAGTGCTACTTTGTTGTCCACTTTCCGTTTTACAAATCTCACTTTTCATTGTGCGAATCTTCCAGGTATGGAGCTGATCACTTCAAAAAACCTATTCCGTGCTCAGGATTATTCTCAGTTGACGCTTGATCTGCTCTTCCTTAGTGTCGGTGGCATACTGGCCTGTGGATTGGAGTGCTCCGAGTACCTGGTTATCAGTACGGCCTCTAGCCTCACTCTATCTATTGCAGGAATATTCAAGGTAAATGACACGTTTCCGCTGTCTTATCACACGACATTTTTCCTCCAACCAATTGGGTGTGTATACTTTATATCAGGGGTGTCAAACACGGCAGGCCAAATTTAAAGTCACACTTAAGGTAGTCGGCCATACGACATGAACATTCCTTGAACAGTGAAAAAGGAAGTCTTTTTTTAAACAATAATATTAATTGAAACCGACACAAGTTGAAATAAAATCAAAATAAGGCACACTAATTTTAGCTCTTATGCCAATTTATCAGAGCTGGATTTTTGGCATCTTTTTTGACGACAAGTTCATTTGTTGGCACTGAAGAGACAATACGAAATGTTGACATCTGCCAGTGTTCGTCTTCTTACTGCATTATTCAAGTTCATTTGTGTCTGGGGTAAGGTTCTGTGTAATGGAGATTCTCATCTATGAGACGACCTGTGTGATGTTTTGCTTATCCTCATCACAGAGAACAGGTACTCACACAGATATGTGCTACCAAACATACTCAACCTTCGAGCCGCATGTAGGCGAAGCTAGGGCATGTCATCAGGAATGAACCGGGTGAACTGTGCAGACCCAACCATGTTGTACTTTGCCTTAAGTGCCTTATTGCACTGCTGCTCTATGAGCTCCATCTGCAAATGTACGGGTGCAGTTTCCACGTCGATAGCAAATTCGTTGCGAAACAGCTCGAAATTACTTTTCTGTTCGTCCAAGTCACTGAAGCGCAGTGCGAACTCAGCGCGAAGTGAGCTCAGTTTTTCAGCAAAGTATGTATTTTGGAACATCATGGCACTGACTTGGGTCAACATTGTTTTACAACAAGGAAAGTGAGATGGTGCATTAGTGCTTCCCATAAACGTAGCTTCACTTAAATTGCCTTCACTAAATCATTCATATCAGTGATCAAGTGGTTTCGTCCCTGAAGCTGCAGGTTTAAGACGTTGAGATGTGTGGTAATGTCAAACAGAAACGCCAACTCACATTTCCACTTTTCATCCTGCAAAACTGTGCAGTCTTTTCCCTTGCTCTCCATGAACTGACAAAATTTCCTGAATCAGCTGGAAAACTCCCGTGAGCACTTTTTCACAACTTAGCCACCGTGCCTCTGTATGATAAGGTAGGTCCCCAAACTCTGAATCCATTTCCTGCACAAAAGACTGAAACAGGCGGGGATATAAACCTTAGGCGCTGATAAAGTTGACTGTTTGTAAAACAGCGCTCATTACATGTTCCAAGTTCAAGACTTTACCACACAGCGATCTTCGGCGTATGATGCAGTGGTATGTTATCAACCCACCAGCACAGAGCTCCTGTATCTTTAACCACAGCCTTCCAACTCGTCCACTTATTTCGCCGCACGTTGCCGGTGCTGCAACTGTTGTCAGTCCAACAAGTTTGTCCCAAGGCAGGTTCATGTCGGTCATACTTTGACTGACCTTATCAAAAATCTCCTCTTCCGTCGTTGTTCCATACATGCATGCAATATTTCTTCTGTCACATGAAAAGTGGAGTCTACTCCGCGGATGAAGATGGTGAGCTGTGCGGTGTCAGTCATGTCACTACTTTCATCGACAGCAAAGTCTTCACCTTTTTCGATCAGCTGTGTTTTGACATCAGTGGCCATCTCAGAAACTCGATCAACAACCGTGTTTCTGCTAAGGCTTGAATTTCCAAACATGTGCTTTTTTCTGGATCCCTTAGTAAATCCCTTAGTAAATCGTCGAGCTGATTCGGTGATCTCCTCTGCCACAACAAAACGCTTTCACGGCAGCTTCACTCTGCGATTTTGCGTTGGTGAACGACATCTGCTGGGATGAGATATTCCTCTTCCATTCTTCTACCTTCGGTAGCTTCTGATCTGCATTCAGATGTCTAAACTTGTCTTGATGTTTAGTCTCATATTGCCATCTTAGCATATATTCCTTCATCACAGCCACATTATCTCCGCAAATTAGAGACACACAGGTTTACCGCCAATATCACTAAACACATATTCAACCTCCCAGAGGCTTTGAAAGGCTCTGTTGACGGAATCAACTTTTCTCTTGGCCATTGCATGCAAATATCTGTAAGAAGCGAATTAAAAAACGATTACTATCGATCATTAAAATGCGTCAACACATAGTGTTAGACATATCTACGGAAAACATTAACACCATCCCATAATATATGTAAAATGCAGCGCATAACAACTGATTTAAAAATAGCAGAAACGCCATCGATCTAGCACGCAGTAAAATGCAACCATACGGTGCTAATTACATAACCTTAATTACATAAGACACAGGGCCGCAATTGTAGGCGTTCTTAGGTTGGCAACAATTGCCTGACAGAAACGCTCAACACTAGGGCATCATTGACCATTTATCAATCATAAAAGACGCAGATGAGCAGCCTTTGATAACCTACGTAGCCGCTACCATGTGCGGAGAACCGCTCAGTAGTCTGTCGTCTGGAATGATACACACCGCGCAGTGCGAGGTCTCTTTCGGCGAATTGGGTGAGGGCAGTCGTCTGGTGACTGGTGGAGTGGGATTGTCGAGGTCATTTGCAGTCAGACAATGTACGGAAGACAGATGTGGCGAAATCGCATACGCAAATGTACCCAGAGACAACGCGCATGAATTGGCTTCAAGCATCCGAGGAGGGCGATTGTGTGCAAAAGTTCACACCATGAAAAACGGTCGACAACATTCGGAGTGCCCTGGAGACTACGAGATGCATGACAAGCGCCCAACGTTGTTAAGGTTGAATACCCACACGCGCGTGCATACAAAAAAAATACGACCTTGCGTCAGACATGAGGAATGGTAGGATACAGGTAATTCTCGGTCGGGAGGATTTCTTGCGTAGTTACTCACGTTACACCCAGCCTAAAAAACCTTCCTGCAGACACCTACGACAGTGTTAGCACCAGTCGACGATACATTGCAGTTCAGATAGGATTTTGTAATGCCTGGCAATTGACAATAGCTTTGTCTAAAACCGATCACAGGCCAGAGTTAATTGTACGTCGGATCACGTGTTTGACACATATGCCTTATATGTTACTGCGTCTTTAAATAGGGTCGTTTTTTGTTTTTGTTGAGGTCAAGGGGACAGATGGTTTTTTAATCCGCTGTAGCAGTACCTCCGGGATCGAATCCTTGTTGTCAATTGTGTTCACTTTCTAACAAATGCAGCTAGTCCAAGTAGTGGCGTTTTTTTTATCTTACTCGTTATTAACACTGATCTCGGCTGCTAATCCCGCGTAGGCGCGGACGACTTCGCGGTATGCTCAGCCCAAGCGCGACTGGTGGTGGTTGCGTAGCAGCGTGGCGCCGGTACGGCGCATCGGCGTACTGCTGATGCCTCAACCGGTTGAGAGTCGAGTCTTTCATCTCGTAGCTGCTGGCTGGATGTCTTGACTATTTGTTTACCGGGCTTTTCAATCTTTGCTTGTAACCACGCATAGAAGTTCATTCGAGCCGCCGTCGCTTTTGGAACAGACTGACATTCCGTCTCAATTGGGACCTTGTGTTCGATGCCGAAGTAATTCACGATAGTCTGTATCTACTGAGCAGCATTCATGTGATACGGTTTCCATTTAAATTACCCAGCGTACTCCCATCACGCGGCTAAACCTGTAGTTCGAGAGTGAGCGCATCTTCCAAGACATGCAAACTCCGGCGTATTCTGTGCACATGCGATTTTACTGCTTTCGCCTCGTACAGTTCGGAAGCTTCACTTGGTTCCACCTGTGTATTAGGCCACCAGCGTTGTCCTTCTATCCGAACCGACAGTTCACACCTTTTAAAGTATGCTAGTTTATTTGGTTTACGGGCATAGATCGTCACATCATTCCGTGGTCGACAGTAAACACGGATCGGCTAAACAGAAACGAATCGCCTACACCCCTTCATCTACACTTTCTTATTCCTTCCAGTCCCGGTGGTCTGCACTGAAACGAGCTCGTGAATACTGTGGTGTTTTCTCTACCTGGCTCATCAGTATTATCTCTTTGCACCATTTTCTGGAGCTACCGGAGCTTGATCATCTCTTTGATGCACATTTAGTTCATAAGCTACTGATCGCAACTCAAGTCCATCTGTTCCTATCGCGCCCAAGCTGGATCCTGGCATGCTGCAATGTTAGCATGCCTTGTTAGCGTACTGCTGGACAACAACGAATAAACCTCATAGGCTCTTCTATACCTACTCATGGTAGATGGATTAATGCTTAGTCTTAAATGAACTCATTCCCAACATCTTCATCTCAGGAACTCTGGAAGTCTTAGATGGCTCTCTCTGAACTCAACGTCCCGAAGCAACAGTCGGCTAAATCGGCGTAGTGCGTGCACGGCACTCGTCTTTGACTATCAGCGACCATGTACGTTGCTTACTGACTTGGTGCTGTTGGCCTCTAGCTGAGCGGCTCCTTCGTCTAACAAGGCGTTAAACTCTTAAGACTTTTTTGCGGTCAAGTGTACCCGCAAGTGAGTCATCTATTTCGGTCCGTATGCTGATTCTTTGTCCTCAGCCTTTAAAAATACCTGTGGTCAAGCTCTTTTGGATTTTTATGGAGCTCTCTAGCCATCCTCCCCTAGCTAGATCTACTTCCAACAATCTTTTAAATCGGCATATTGAGTCAATGTTTCCGAGTGACGCCTTGTTAGGTAACCGTCACTTATTTCGCGACTTGTGGGTGAGGTCATTAAGTCACAAGCCTGTCTAGTAATCCTGAATGCATGGGTTCGAGTCTGCCTAGGGGACCGGGCAACCCTCGCAGTGTCCTTAGCCCACGCGTGATTGGTGGTGGTTGCGCTTCAGCGTAGCGTCGGTACTGCATACTGGTGTACTGCTGATGCTTTTTTGAACGGAGCTCCTGTCGTTGCGGGCAACTATAGAGCGCCATTTGCTCACGGAACTCCTTTACTGCTTCCTCTTCTCCCTTCTTTCTTTGTTTCTTTTATTATACAAATGTTGTGTCCTGATTAGTTAGCAGAATCTCTCTGATTCCCATACTTATACTAACGCGGTGTACAAATTTTTATTTTCGCGCAAATATTTCATTTCACCTCTTTTCGTACAATGTACCCATCCTTTTTGTTGGATTGTCCGATACACACCATTGTTTTGCTGTATGTTTGAAGCACTTCATGTGAATGCTTCATCCGTCGCTGTGCCGACTCATCAATTACAAGCAGTTGGTTTGCAATACATTATTTTCCTATTTCTTCACACTCCCATAGGAAATCTGTACCCTATTTTTAGCTGCCAAATTCAATGGAGATCAAATATCTACAGTGAATATCATCGGATTTTTGATCTGTCTTCTGGGCATCACACTCCATGTCTTCCTGAAGATGATACACCGTGAGTTGCCGTTGTCATCTTTGCTCTTGAGGTGTTGGTTCCTTCGTTCGTCCACTAGGGTACAAGGTGATCCTATATGCGAGTACCACAATTCCTGTGGGACCAGCGAACGGATATGTTCTAGTGACAATAAAATATCAGTGGAAACCAGTACTTTATCTTATGGCAACGATTGATGCGTTTTTATTGTTCATCTTATCACGCACGCTACCTATAATTCTGTCACGTCCGTTCAGTGCTCAAGAGAAGTGACATCATTCATTCAGTATACATGTTAGCTAGAGATGGGGAACACCTCAGCTATTGTGCCGCAATACACGAGAAAGAAAAAATGGCACAACAGAGACACGCATGCTGAGCCAACAGGAACTGTGGGGCCTCGTTCCAGAGAGCTACCGACCGGCTATTGTGTCGCAAAAAAGATTTATCTTGTGCCTAGGGAATGAGATCGTGGTTGGAAGTGGATGGAAAGCAGGAGGGGGAGAGACAAAGAAACTCACAACACAAACACCATTGTGTTCAGCTCCTTGCCATGTCAACAGTTGTATACAGCCAAACGTGTTCGTCGTTTGTCGGGCTTCAACCGATGGGCCGAAAGACGCTAACATAGGCTAACTTCGAATTAAGGGACTTCATTCCTCTTGATCAAGTCATCTCATGGCCACCACTCTTCTTCCATCCACACTCTATGCGCGCAACCAACGCACGTCGCTGGAGTCGGTGGGCTGGCATGCAAGTGGCTGACAAGGGAGTTCTGTTTCGAGCCACTTACCTAATTTCCTTAGCTTAAGAACCTGCGACTATACGGCACGGTACCAGTGTATCTGGTTCTGTGCTGTCGTTCATGGTGCTACTCTCACTACCCACTCATCTTACTCGTCTGTGAATGCAACACTATCTAAATAAATAAACGATTTCTCGTCGGTGCGAGGCACGCCTTCAAAGGCACCATCATGGTAACATCAGTAATGGTACAGAAATGTTAAGATTTAACCAGTACACATTGAATATATATATATATATGTGTGTGTGTGTGTGTGTAGTATTTATGTGGGTGCATGTGCATGTCGTTTAAAGTGAATGGCTGTTGTTTGATATCCCTGGTATGGTTGCGCTTGATGTGTATGTTGACAAGGTGCCTACCTGTCTATTACCCACTACATCGTTCATACTGGCTCCAGGAGACAGTTGTTCGTTGCTGGAGGGGACGGGGTGCACGGTTCTTGTGGCCGTGCTAGGCTCAAAGAGCGGTTCCATGCACTCAGTGTGGAGCGGACTATGGTCCAGCCACCGCCTTGTGTGCGCTTGATTCCCCAAATACAGCGTGGTTGTGTTTGCCTGTGAAGGAGTGTGGGCCGGCTCCGTTGATGAAACGTGGTTCCCATCCGCATGCCTCCCGGTCTTATTCCTTCGGGTTTACACTGGATATGGGGTATGTGGTTGGAGCTGTGGGTGGTGCAGCGCAAGCCATCCATGGTCCCTCTGTAGGCGCAGGCGTCCTGTGGCTTGCCACAGTGACAGGTAAATCCGAAACCGGATGCCGCCAACCATGTGCAAGTAATCTTGTTGTGTGAATTTGTTAGTATTACTGCAAATTTGTGAGTTTGTTCGGTGAAAGCACCAATATAAGAAGGGATCAGATGAAATCCTGGAAGTGATTGACGTTCGCGAAATGTGTAAGATCCTCCGGTATGGCAAGGCAGTGACTTTATTTAGTGGCGAATCACATTCATCACGTCACAATGTTGTTAAGCAGACATTTGTGGCTTTTTATATTGACAACACTTGCCAAGCGAAAACCCACCACGTCCTGGAACACTGCCGCCGAACTATTAGCTGGGCCGGGATTAACCCGAACCACCCAGCTGGCACCACGTGGAGGTTGTTCGGCCAGCCAGCGTAATCGGCCGTTGACCTAGCACATTGTCTGATTTGTTAGCTAGCGACATTCGTTCGTTCACGGCTTGAACAAATTTCATTGCCTTCGTATCTAGTAAAGCGGCATTGCGGGCTCCCCTCTTGCGCGCATCCTTTGCTGAATGAGAACTTCAGCCGCTGCACCAGTCAAAACCCACCAGCCCCACAGTGTCTTGACACCAGAACTACTCCGATCCGTCCAGTAATCGTCAAATGATTGTTATGACAGAATGCGGTTCAACTTAACAAGACGGCAACGTGCTATCGGCAGTCCCTTTACATTTTCCCTTTTAGTTGGTTTCCTCTTTAAAACGGATAGCAGCATTGTGCATCTGGCGCTTAATGTTGTGTGTTGTTACGTTAACGCCATGTAAAGTAGAATGCGAAGGCTTGAGGCTCATTTGAAGTCCCTCACAGGACTGTTCTTTTCAGAATTGTGGCATGCATCAGATTGTTATTCACCCACTCATTTTGAATGGTCTTCTAACAGCCGCTACTGCGTTCCTTTTAACTCAGACTACAAATCTGTCTTCGGGCTATAGGAGCTCCCTATCTGTTAAGTGCCCTCTGTTGACGGAGTTCATATCTTACTCGACCATTTGAGCAACTCTCAAAACCGTATGAGGTAGACTCTTGAGTCGGAGATCGCAGGCATGGAACCTGGAACAAGACCTCCCTCGAAAAGTGTCTAGCCGTTGGGTGGGATTTTTCTTAATTGTCTGTTTAGCCTTTGCAACTCTCCCCCGGTTAATGAGAAAAAAGCAGCTACTGGCTTCCAGATTAGTACTAACGTTGTGCTCTATCGCCGTTCGGGCAGTGTTTCGTTTAACGTTTAGCTCTTCAGCGTCTCCACTCTCGATCAACTCGGTCTGGAACCAGATCGCAACATCTTAATGAATTTTCGGCTACTTAACTCAGAATCTGTTGACGATCATCACTGTACTCCTCGCATCTTCAGTGTTTACGGTGTCGGTGAAGTTCCTGTATCCGAATATGTGTGATTCGTCTTCGTTCTGTAAGAGTATATTGCAAGCATTCCGCCCTTCAGTCATGTCAGTTCACCCACCCGATTCAGAGCCGGAAATAAACCACCTATGCTTGATTTAGTGCTCACGAACGAAGACCTCATGGTTGAGAAACCAAGGCTGGAGAACCCTCTGGGGCGAAGTGACCACGTAACCATAATTTACGACTTCGTGTGTTATGCGGAGTATTCACAAGAACATACTAACTTGTTTCGAACAATCACCCACCACGACATACTGGCAGAACTTGTGGGAGATGCCAGCTGGGAGTTTCCAGACAACATGTTCCATTGACAGTGCTTTGTTGGATTTTACTGGTAAGTTCAGTGATCTGATTAAATCTGCATCGGTCAACAAGCCCCTTCGTTTTGCAAGGGCAAAATTATTCATTCGGAGTAGAACCCGGAAAGGCATGCTGACAGTAAGAGACGCTGCGTGGCATGTGTATAGAGCGAACCCTAGCCCTGACAGCTGGAGTAACTATGTTCTGATCATAATCACTGTGCCACACCTGTGCGCCAGGACAAATTAATACGCCAGCAGAGTCTAGCGGAAAAGTTTCTTGCTAACAAAATGCTTCTGTACAGACAGGTGAACAGCCTCCGGAACGTGAGACGTGGAGTTTCTTCACTAATATCAGCGGATGGATGTACTCAAACCGCCGAGGATATAGCCAACATTCTACGTCTACAATATGCTCCAAATTAACCGAATGCTGCCAGCATTGGTAACATACCTACACCGTGCTCTCACATGCCACTACTTACACAAGTCACGTTTAGTTCAGCGACCATTTTGAGAAAGCTGCTATCGTTGCGCATTCATAGTTCCCCCGGAGTTGACAACATTCCCCCGAAAGCACTGCAGGTGACAGCTACGAGGATAGCTGAACTATTAACGAGATATTTTCAAAGATGACTGGACGGATTGCAGGTCCCTAGTATGTGGAAGTAAGGCATCGTTACCCTGGTTTTCCAAAGTGGTAGTCGTTCAGCGCCAGCCAACTGTCGCCCAGTGACTCTCCTCCCGGTGCTCTCTAAGTTGATGGAATCGATCATAGCTGGGGCTGTAATGGGCTACTTTGAAAGGTCTAACATCATAGCACCGGCGTAACACGGATTCGTCAGCATCGGTCTTGTACTACCAATCTACTGCTTGCGCTTGGCAGTTGGACCGAGATAACCTACAATGGGACCGGCATCGATGTCATCTAACTAGACTTTTCCAAAGCATTCGATCGCATAGATCACCGCATCCTCCTCCAAAAGCTGCAAGCATACGGAGTTGGAAACCCTGTCCTTTGATGGATCGGAAACTTCCACTTTCAGCTGCGCCTTCAGGTTCGAGTTCGAGATTCATTTTCTGATCCAATTGATGTGAACTGCGGTGTTCCACAAGGGTCGGCGTTGGGGCCGCAGTTACTCTTGTTCTTCGTTAACGACCTTACGAGTCTCATCAAATCAAATTTCCTGCCTTTTGCCGATAACATCAAGATATGGTGGGCAATCGACTGTCAGGAAGATCACGATATGTTGCAACGAGAGAGACTGCGCTTTTGAATGCTTATGTGTAAATCTACTTCCGTTTAACACGGACGAGTACAAAACCGTGTATGTCCGTCACAAACCCATGTACGCATATAAGCTTACAGACGATATGCTGAACACAGCCTCACAACATCGAGACCTTGTGGTGGTAATCCAATACAACCTCGGCTGTTCGGCGCAGTCCTTGAAGGCGTCCAAAACTGGTCTGTTACGGAGGGCGTTTAGGAGGTTTGATCCCTCTATCTTCCCCCAAATGCCCATCTTCCACCAAATGCGTATTTGAGACCTCATGTAAAGTACGCGATCCAGGCTTAGCAACCTTGGTTGAAGAGCGACCTGGTTGCACTGGAGACCGCACAGCGACGGGCAATGAAAAATGTGAAAAGTTTGTCCCACCTGCAATACCATAGGTGACTGGAAGCCCTGGGAGTGTACAGCGGAAGATATCGCCGTTTACAAGGTGGCCTCATCCTGGCGTTCCAGATTTTGAAAACCCCCATCACGCTTGCCC